TTCGGAACATAATTCAAGTGAAATAAATGGATGCAACAGTGATAAAGGTTTTGAACGTAAAGTGATGATCGAACTTTTAAAAAGACTTGGTGCAGTTTTGGATAGACTTAGTCGAATCGTTTGGAATATTGTCGCTGACTAAGAATTCACCTGCATTTTGAGCTACTCAGACAATCTACTTCTATGCGTTCAAAACATCTAATGAATCTTCTCATACTAGCTATAGCAGAATTAAATTTCCGAAATTCTATTCGCGTTATTCAATCTCTCTCTCTCGGATCTCTTTGATGTGCTCGAATGCATTATGCAAATTTAATATGCCTTCCATAAGGCGAATTTCTTTATGAACTCCATACCTGTCAAGGTTAATGAAATAAACATTTCCTGTAAAATCATTTATCCTTTGTAATGTCATTGATGACCTAATAATTGATTACTCTCAACTCCAGTCACATTTAAAATACACACACACACACACGCACACACAAACATATAACGATAAAATTAATTTTATTTGTAGTCAGTCGTTCAACAGAAAATAAGCAAAAGCTATGTTTAAATATCACATGCGTATGTATGTTTACTTATCTGCGTATACACTATGTGTGGATGAAAATAATATTTTGTGATAAAAAGTACCCGTTTAAATAAATATATGCAAGACTATGTTCGAAATTTAGTTTGACAAAAAATCAAATCCGGTTTTCTTCATTAAGTTTTTCCTTAATTTTACACTTGAAGAAAAAGTAGATTGTTTTCTTCTTTCTTCTTTTCACATTCTTTTAACTTGAACTATGTTGCACTCTTCTACGGCGGGCACTCTGAAGTAAGTTACGAATATTTGATGACATAGTTTACGCATTTTCGACGCATTACTCATCCCTTTATCGTCTTAACGAATTATTTGCGCCATTGTTTACTCTAAGCAAAGCTTTACAAATTAATTGCTAAGAAAACTATGAGTAATCTGTTCGACTATGAAAATCACTTACTTCAGCTAGCGCTTAAAGTGCAAAAATATTTGAAATAATTTTTCTCTTTCTTAAAATGAGATTAACACTATCAATGCGATATGACTGGGGAGATTTGCATGAAGGACCTTGCGAAAGTTCGCCAAAGTTCGGTTTCGTTGCTTTGGTAGTTGCACAGTTCGAAGGTAAGTTTCATTCAATTGCCCTTTTTCCCTTTTGTCCCAAAAATACGTTAGACACTGTTCGCTTAATTTTTGCCGGTCTTCGGCAACTTACATGAAGCTTGCTCCATTCCACAATCAAAGAAATGTCTTGGGATAATTTTTAGCAAAATCTTGTATAAAATTCCATAAGTGATTGGCATCAAATTTCTCATTAATTCTTGTATATTTTTGTCTGCATTTTATATGACGCAGTATCTACGTGAAAGGGCATATTGCTGGAAACGGCTTTCATGAAACTCTTCTCCTCTTTCCCCTATAAATAGATTAAGTCGAAAGACGTGGCTTCAATTTTTCAAAGGAGTACTTCCATGCCGAATTTCTGCTGCGAGTATGCTTGATGCTTGAATTCTTGTCACACCGAGGTTCCATGAAAAGACGAATACTTAACAGAGGTACCATACATAAACTTTAGATTGGCTCTCTGCTGCCTGTATATATAGGTTGGAAATTTCATAATTTCCATCAGGCTTTCCACAATATCCCATCTTACCATGTATTTCGTGGAAAAGTCAGATTCACATTTTTATTAGATTAACCACAGGCTAACGCTCCACGATATATATTTTGGTTGGATAGATGAGTCTTCAAAATTTTCCCGTCTTATGTTACCACAAGATTGCTTTTTAAATACAAAATAACTCAGGAGGCGTTACCATACGTATTACAGGTCAAAGGCGAGGAAAAGAAAGGGATACGGTACAGCCACAGCGTAGAAGGTGTAACAAATTGATATCTATTGTAACTTTACCGGTTGAGCATTTGCTTTGGCTTTACACCTACGAACACCGACAAATAATCAAAGAATTGCAAGCGCATAGGTTAGTAAGCAACACTGTTATCAGTGTTGTATCAGTCTTTTCGAATATATTTTAGTGTGACCTTTATTTTACATAACGCCTAGTAATTCGCTATCATTATGAGGCATAGTAAACATTATTTCTTTTTCCCCTCAAAACTGCTGGACTCGACTGTTACTTGCACGGTAAGCTAAAAACGCCAATGTAGGAAATACATCAGCCTTCTTAATTTTCAACTAAAAACGAAAAAAAAAAAATAAATAATAAAAAAAAAATGCAAGTATATATATATATATAATTTGATCGACTTCATTCGGAATAACCTCCTTTTTCTCGGACTCTCAATTAAAGTCGTCGTCTGCAACAAAAGAAAAACATTCAGTATTTCATTAGTTGTCCCAGTAAGTGAAGCAAAACAAGTTTTACCTAAACATTTCCTATGCGATTGATCAATGAGAGCATTGGTTTTACTAATTGCCGAAAAGTTGTTGCTGCCTACGAAGGCGCAGTACATGAAAAGTCTAAAAGTGTTTAAAACCTCTGCACTTCGTTCTACTTATACACTTCAGTGTACTTCGTTCCATACAAGTCATTTGTGTCGATATAAATAATACGCTAGCTAGCGGCGATAGAAGCCAACGCGAGATACGAGAGCGTTGTAGACGTTTAAAGCGACCTCTCAATGAGCCATACCGTCAGCAAATGTCACTTTAGGGAGTGGAGTTATTTTTCTTCGTTAGCGATTTTCTCTATATTAGATTTTGAGCTAGGGACATATATCATAGCAAAAGAGTTGTCCCAACATTTGCTTGAATAGTCAGGCATTCCGTAATTATGATTTGTTAAAAATGAACTTTTGACAGATGTCAGACTAACACTTGTACAAAATATTTTTCGTTGGCATTGCCGACAATCAGGATTTCTACGGTGAATAACTCATTTACGACAAACGAAGCAAATATTTTATATACAAAAAAAATATATTTTTCAAATTGCGGGCATGGCTTTTTATTTACTTTTTTTTTATAATTTATTGGTGCAAAAATACGTTTCTTTTTCATTTTGGACGATTGTGCAGAGATCGCCTAGACTTTGAATTGGACCCGCGCAGAACGAAGCTTACACAAACTGCTAAGCACGCATTTCTTTTCCCTTTGTCCATTCTTATGTGTACGTTGATCTTGGAGGTCTTCCTCTTTTCTTTTCATTTAAAAAAGTTGAAATTTCTTTTGTTATAATTTTATAATGTAAATGTAACCTCAAGAGCCTTCTGACTGTCGACTGCATTTCATATAATTATTTCGTTATCATTTACATATAAAAATATATAAAATTGATCGTAAATAAGTAAATAAATAAAATATGAAAATACCAAGTATTTGAGATCTTTCTCAATATTCAAGACGTTTGCCTTCAAAGAAGGCTGGCTACCTTTTGTTACATTTTATTATGAGAAAATTTCGAAGGAGTGGTTCCTTAAGTGAGGCCTTAATCTCGGCTAGCTTTTTATCCGAGTACGCCGAGAATAAATAAATGGTTCTCGAATTTTTCTAACGGAAAAATTAATAATAAATTTAGCTTAAAATTAAGTTGAGCACGATTCTCTTCGAACACAACAAATCCTTGCAACGACAGGCTTGAGCAGGCAACGCCTGATCAGAGGACCATCATTCGAAAGATGCATTACTACCAGTATAGAGAAATCTTATCGACGATTTAGCAGATTGTCCAATAAATCAACTCACATGATGTTATATTGCGTTCAAATCGCTGCGGTTTATTATCAAGTTTAATGCAGGGCGGATTGATTGTAAATAGGAATTATACGGATCTGTCAATTTTCGAATAATTTTTTCAGTTTTTATGCATAAACTGAACACACTTGCATGAGGAATTCGTTGTTTAATTCGAATTTTCCCACTGAGAGGTTGCCTACGCACATGCCGTTCGATCTATGTTATTGCAAAAACGTTGTCCTTTGCCCGATCTTTGGAGTTTGGGCGTTTGGAAAAACGCGCGGAAATCTATACCTAACCGAATAATATTGCTAAGAGCGATTAAAAATCGACCTGCAAGTTTAAGAAGGCTTGTTCGATTATTAGGTTCGTCCGCCTGAGTGGCCGAGTAGGCAAGAGTCTCGACTAGCAAGTCAATGGTCGTGGGTTCGAATCTCAAGTGCGGTAGAGTTTTTAATAAAAGCCGATAGCCTTAGATGCTAGTGCTTTTAAGAGTTTAGTCTTAGAATTTATTTCTCTGGCGAAATTAATAATAATAATAATAATAATAATAATAGGTTCGTCTTTAGAAAAAACTTGCAATCAATCAATTCAGTGGAAGATGAGGATACATGGGCCTTATGGGTGGTTACAGCCTTACAGTATGGGTATTCCATTGCTTTAGCAAGAAAACATTTTCGTCTAGTGTTTACTTTAAGTCTTATTAGGTGAAGTGCATTTTCGCCTAACTATTCTCTGTCTGTGAATAGTGCTTCCGTGGATTATATCAAGCAAGAGAACGTATAAATCGCTTAAGTATTTTCTGTTTGCGATTGCTGTTACCGGGTGCTATCGGGAAGTATATTAAGTAAGAGATGGATAATAAAGGCACTTACTAGCTTTAGGTAACCAAAGTAGCCCCATCCTATGTCTCTTTACTTCATTCAAGTCTGGAAAGTTAAAGTGATAATGCTTTTGATTCCCGCACTCATCGACTACTATCCACCGACTAACTGTACACTCGAAATAAATGAATTTTTTCCCTCCCGTCAACTTATTTTTTTATTAGGTATCTTCTTACGTGTGCTTTATCGCTTGTTGTATGTAAATTGTTTCTTAATTTCCACCATAATGCACGGCTTTCAAGGGCTTTTAATTAATTACAAAACTCATACAATTTATTTTATTTTTTTTTCCTCTTATATGAAAACTTTCATTGGCGATGATGCGTGTAAATATCTGCTCAGTGTATTGCGTTGAGCTGTCGGGTATATAAACTCTTCACAAATCCGAGTTGAGTCTTATATTGTTACAAGCTTTTTAACATAACAGTTAACAAAAAGTGAGTAGAGTAGTCAAAATTGTCTACAGTGGGTTTTTAATTTTATTTGAATTTTTTTTTTTTCTTTTTTTTATAATTGACGTAAGCATGTTTGTGATGATGGAAGTCAATTCGTGTGTTGAGTTGCAAGTGATTTTAAATAATTGAAAAGAAAAAGAAAAAAAAAATGTTTTTTTTTCTTCGAAAGTGAAAGAAAAAGAGGCATAAAGAAAGCAAAAGAAATTGAAAAAAAAAAATGTTTTTTTTCTTTTCCTTTTGACCCAACTTTTGATGGTTTTTGAGACTATCGACCTACTTGTCTCAATTATACTTCTCATATGGACATGTGGATATAATTTTTAAGTTATGTGTGTTTTGCTTGAAAAACTTTACTCTCAACATTAGGTTTGATTTATGTGTTCCATATTAATTATTTTTAATATATATATATTTTTTTTTTTTTTAATGACTAAATACTCGATTTAGGTGAGTGCGGTCGGTCAGTGAAATTTTCATAAGCAATAAAAAAAAAGAAGAAAATTAACAAATTAATAAAAGTAAATCTTAATAATAACTTTAAAATTAATTATTTTAGGAAATTTCAAGTGCTTAGTATTATAACTCAATTGACGCTTTCAGACTTTGGTAATGCCTGTGATGAACCTCACATGCGCGTGTCGAGGAATTATTTTTAGGACAAAAACAAAAAAGGATAAAAAAGCATTGTTCTTTCAATGGTTCCTATACTCCATTGAAAAATGTGTTTATATTAAGTCAATTCGGTCTTCTTTTCAAGTGTCTTCAATGGAGACCACCAATTATGTTAGCTGTATATTTTTGACCAGCAGGAAATTCTCAGTTGCTTACGCTTAAATCGTCCATTAGTCTGTCTGAATAAATTGCTAAGCAGCCCGTACGGACTGAATATGGAAAATTAATAGTGAGATACAAATTAATATAGAACTGATGTCTAGTCGAAATTTAATATAAATATTTAGTAAAAGCTATTCATCATCAATATATGTGTCACTCAACAAGCGGTTGCCGACTCTTATACTTTGATTCTCTGCATCACTTGTGGCACAAGGGTATGTTACGTTCGTGTAGATGTGCGCAGCACCCAGAAGGACTAACACAGAACCATCTTTTGTTATGGTGAAAATGATAATGAATCGATCTAAGCTTGTCTATCCGTCTGTCCGGCTCGTTTTCTGCTGTTTAACCTACACGTCGCAATTTTAAGTTGTTCAAGGAGGAACGCTACGATGCGTTGTGATTCGATATATGTTGCGTTTTGATTTCTTTATCCTATTAAGAATTGCGGAGCTAATTTCCGAATTTTCAAATCCTCTACATATTTTGTTGACACGTTTCTTTTGGCCGAGAAGTCATAGAGATCATAGGTCCACTGGTAGTGTATTAGTGCAATAAGCATGACGCCTCCTTACGAAAAGGAACATAAGTAGTTGACACCTTTGATCAAAATATATGCTTTGCCTCACATTGGCCAACATCATACAGGAGAGCCATTACAATTTCGTATTGATATCTGCTAAATTGAAAGTGTCAGTTATATATATGCTTTTGTTCACCTTATGTTATAGTGATTGAATGGCAGACATTCGGATGCAGGGTAATTTTTTGGTGACATTCAGGATTTTCAACCTGCTAAAGGAAAGAATATGAGCGGACCTTTTACGGAAGGCGTATAGATATGAAGTAACTTTTACGCGTAATTGTCAATCTCCCTCGACCCGTTAACCTGGTCTCTTTTTATCTAGTTTTTACATGTAGTAATACTTCTGCCCTTCAAATGATTTGTACGTTCAAAGATAAATCTCTCTAAATCCACTTATTAGGAGAACTTATGCGTTTTTTTACTTAACTTTGTTTACAATACATACATACACATTTTACGAATGTCAAATTAGCTCACTTTGGTAAAAGTAGATACAAGTAGAACAAATTACATATATATATATATATAATTTCTAAGCATAGCTTTGAATATTGGCTTTTGGCGGCAGGGATTTCTTATTGAATCGCAGGCTGAAGGAAGTGCGCTTAGATGGGGACAAGCACGCTGTTCGATGGCACATGGAGTTAATGTTATTCCCACAGGACGGTTAGGGCCTTAGATCAAGACAGCAATTAGTTATCGTTCCTAGTCAAGGTGAAGCGTATCTAAGAGCTGCGGCCTTATAGGTATGAGCGCCCGGGTGCACTACAATTTCGCGGAAAGCACTAAACGATTCTGCGTAGGTTAATTAGAATAAACCTATCCTTAGCTATGTCGTCGAATCGCAGAAGTTGTTGGGACATACAAACAAGCGCACATCCGTCATCTTAATTGTGTGATGCTTTCGTTCCTTATTGATTTTATAGAGAGAAGGAGTGAGTGAAAGTAAGAAGAGAAATCGGGGGCGTCTAAGAATTTGAAAATTTCGCCATATTTTTATTATTATGAATTTTGAGAGCATCAGCAGCCTTTCCGAACTTCTCATCTCATGCACATTCGTATTCAAGGAAAATGGTTTTTGGATACCTATTGAGTTGTTTGAAATCGAGCAAAGAGTTGATGTTACCGATGCTATCATAAATTTAATGTACTTTCTTGCACCTGAAATTTGAAGTCTTGTTTTCGATTGCATAATGTTTGGGTTAAATGCGGGTTTCGTTGCTTTGTTTGTTTTTTTTTTGGGGTCTTTTGGTTTGGTTTGTTTTCGTTATTTAGTGAGAGTGCATTTTGATAGTTTTCCAAAAGAGTGGTAAACAAACTACAAACCAGTCAATGCTTGATGCTAGTATCTACTATATTAATATGTATATTAGTCTGTATGCATGTGTGTGAGTATGTATGCCTGTCTTGTTTATGCAATCGTACGATTTAATAAATACTGGTTTAAAAAACAAAAAGAAAAAAGAAAAAAAATTCCTTTTTGCTCTTAAACGTATTTTCCATTTTTTAGTTAATCGAACAGAAATGAAATCAACTTTTTGCTGTCTTGCGTTGTTAGTCGTTTATTTGGCTGTAATCGTAACCGCACAAAAATCCTATACAAATAAATTTGATACTGTCGATGTTGATAGTGTGTTATCGAATGATCGCATATTAACTAATTATATAAGATGTTTGATGGAGAAAGGTCCCTGCACGCCGGAGGGACGTGAATTGAAAAGTAAGTTCATTGAAAATATTTAAATAACGTATCGGCCAGAAAGTAAATTCGGCTTTTCAGGTGTAATCGTTTGTTTGCACGCCGAGAAATCTTTACTCAATTCTGCATTTCACATATATAACACATTGCTCAATAAGCTCGTGTGATCACATACAAATGACGCGTGTGTGTGTTTGTATTTTAACAGCATACTTCAAGTGAAATGTTATGAAATATTTTTGCATTTCTATGTAAAAATACTATGGACTCATTAATAATCAATCGAAATCCGGATACTATCCTACGAACTTATTGAGCGATGTATTATCCTGAATTTATCATTTCATGGTTTTGTGAAGCGGAATAAATTCGCGTTTGCAGGTAACAAATTGCAATGACTACGAAAGATAATTAGACACAAATTGTCGCGAACTGTAACGTTAATACGATAGGACTGCCTCCCTCAGCCAAGTTTGCCTTCACATATGCCGCGAATTAACCTTGCCAGCGACTGAACGTTTACTAAGATGTTCCTTTGCAGTTCCCGCATTCACTCGCTCGTTTTAGATTAGTTTTGCTTAGTTGCTTTATTCGACGGCAGCAATAATCTACATCGGCTTGATGGGGCTTTCCAAACTAACCGGAAACAGAAACCATTCAACCTATTAAAAAGAAAATTCTATTTAAAGAAATCTAAATTTCGACGTGTTTTACGTCAGTCTTTCAAGCTTGCTTCGGAACGGCTTTCAAATCATTATACTTGACGTCGTCAATGCAAACATTGTGATTATTATCTTTTTAGGGGCATTCTTTTAACGCCCTCGCAACTCTTTTAGCGCACCCCGTAGTGAGGGTACGATACACAGAAAACAATAAGCCTTGCTTCGAAGAAAGTTTAGTTTTTTCATACGAACTTAAAGATAGTGTTTCCGAACTATCCAAATATCGAATTACGGGAATACTTTCTGCTCTAATATTCCCCTATCCTTGTCACTCATTACGTTGTTAATCAATTTGTAACGATCAAAAATGTGGATTGGAAAACCCACGGACCATACACATCAGATATGCAGATGCTGAATCGATCTAACCCGGTCTGTCCGTCTGTTTGTTATCTGCAGTTGAAACGTGCGCTATTTTGATAAAATACCACAATTAAAGTTTAAAAATGAAAGTGAACAAGTTACATTCACGCTATGATGCGAAACGTCGGTACCAAAACTATCTAAAAATGCGGTGAGAAAATGAATACGGCTAGCCCATAGGCACGCCTACTCTGGTGAGTAAAGTAAAACATGCAATTCTTTTTGGATATTGATGCTAAAGTTCCAGAGGAAAAGGTGGCGTGACTTGCTTACTGTTACGCCTAAATTAGGGAATAAATTATAACTAGGCTTTCTGAGCACATTTTCAGGGAAAATTCGTTGTAAACATTTATGAAGACCATCTGAGAACACAAAAGAGTTATGTGTGTGCTACCTCTAAGAGATGGTAATCTAAAATCTGCTCGAATTATTTTTTTTTAACGAATTGTCTTAACCATAATTAGCAAAATATTTTGCAATTTCACCAAACGTCAAAATTATCACTCTTCGGAAGGATAAGATGAGATATAAAAAACAATCTTTCGATGTATACTTACCTGTAGACATCTTGTGCTCGATGGGTTCGTAAGAATCTTGTTGATCTACCAGCAATGCATGATGTACGTTCTTAAGTGTTCTCCACTTGTACTACAAGGGTATAAGAAGTGTCTGCAGATGTGTTAAGAACTCGGAATAGACACAGCTTATAGTATTATATCAATACTATGCTTGTCTGTCCGTCTTGTCTTTTTGTGCTCAGTCTACAGGTCGGAATTTTTGAAATATTTTCTTGAAATTCGGTATACTCACGCATCTTGGCCCAAAGACGACCATTATTGAAAACGGTTTGTATTGGTCCATTTTTTCGACCGTTTCCCATATAATGCCTTCTTTTAATAAATCGCTATATGAATAATGTTTTTAGGTGGAGTGGCGTACAATATTTAATTGTTGGCTGTGTCTCAATATGTTGTGTTTTTACATGGTTTTCCTCGAAGGCTAATCAAAATTTCTCTTAATTTACGGAATTTAATGCGACCTCATTATACATTGGATATTGAAAAGAAATTTGTGTTACAAACTAAGATCTCTATATAATATGAATGACAAAATAATACTTTCTGGCCAAGTGAATCGTTTTCAAAGACTTTTGAATTTGATAAAACGAGTATTGTAAAATATATATACTTTTAGAGCTTCTACCGGATGCCTTGAAATCGGAGTGTACGAAATGTACCGATGTGCAAAAGAAGAACTCGCAAAAGGTCATCAACTTCTTGCGTGCGAATCGTCCGGGTGAATGGAAGCTATTATTAAATAAATACGATCCTTCCGGTGACTACAGAGCCAAATATGAAAAACAAGCTTAGACGAATAATTTGTACACATTATATTCTCTTTATAAATATTATCGGAATTTTTCGTGACTTTTTTACTTTATTGGTAAAGATTGAATTAAATAAAAAATATTAGATATTGTGATCTTATTACAGTTCTATTCATATTTTGTATATGTATTTGTATAATAATAATGAAAAAAAAATACCACCTAAATTACTAACGAGCAACGAACAAGAACAACAATAATTGTAACAAAGAATTATAATAAAGAACTTTTTTTTAATACCTAATGTTAAAATTAATTTCTTATTTCTTTTTATAAGTTTCACATAACAGTTCTCTTAACGTCTTATTCGTTATTAGTAAATAAATTCGAAGGCAACTGTACACAATTAATACAAGAAAAATAACCATTAAAGTTCCTTGAATATTAGGAACTATATGTACACCGATATGCATAAATAGTGACGTTAACGTTGACATATCGTCCATATCCTGAAATCCATTATGAAAATTTCGCATTTGTATTAAAAAGAGTATTAACTTATTTGAAAAGAAAAAATTTTGAAAGGACTTACAAATTCATACCAAAATGATGGTATAACCATATGACTGAAACGTTGCAAGTCTTTATTGAAACCTTTCATATCTGGCATGGGTATGTTAACTTGAAAGCGATATTTTTCCTCCAACGGTATACCCATTGTAGGTTCTAATATAACTTCAGCTTCGTGTTTCTCTTTATCTGGCGACAAGCCTTCAAAATGCTCGGTAAAGTTATAAGCAGTATCCATGAAATGCGGCGCCGATAATGCCGTTGGAACTTCGCCTATGGAAGAAATATTTTAAAATTTTTTATAATATTTTATATGCACACACACACACACACACACATATAGACAGATTGAGCTATATATATAAATAAATTTATATATAACACATAAATCGACAGACGTACGTACATGCACACACACACACGCTTAGTTTGTTGTATGAGTTCATAAGAAAAGTACTTAGAAAGATAGCGGATGGAAAGAAGAGGAAATAGAAGCCAATCGGGTACTCCGCTAAAGTGCCCCCACATGAAGCGCACTGATTGGAACCAGCGAGCCGCGAATTAACTGACGATGGTCCCTCGGAAGGGAGCGGACAAAGCAATGTATAGGCCGTGCGGCCTAGCTTTCATATGTAGGCGAAAGTGAAAAAAGTTCACTTAATTTTTTAAAAGATAACAATAACAGTAACGCACTCGGCTTTTATGAAAAATAATGGCAAAGCAGTTTTTCGTTTTCTCCAATTGGGCTGAAATTCCTCTTATTAGCGAGAAAATAGAAATAAAAGCGAAAAGTAAATTAAAAAAAAAAAAAAATTCAGCGGAATACATAGTCGATTTTTTCAAACCGTGTTGCATCAAAACCGTGTTATAATAGTCGCAAATTTTGTAACACCTTTATTCGAATCTACGTTTAATAAATACCGGGTTATATGGAGGACGCCTGTGTATATTGAAATTTTTTGCTTAAATACTTACCGGACACGCAACGCGATGCATCAAACATTCCTTTAGGCAATTTAATCCCCAATGAATTATCCAAGCAATCCTTATTAGTATTTACATCGCTTAGAGTGTAACGATAACCCTTGAATCCCTGGCAAAGTACTTCACGATCGTAATTCAATTTAAGCGTACGACAAGCCTCCGTAGCAATAATATTCAATTCGGTTTCGGGCGTTAGGAACGGTGGAAAAAGGGAATTGTCAAAGCTATTGTCCAAGATGACCGGACAATATTCGTCAGATTTTTTAGCTCGTTTCACGAACGCTCGTTGTTGAGGAAAATATGTTTTATTATTAAACGTATTTACCCGGAAGAAATTTTCGATGCCGTTATCTACACCGATTTTGACATTGTAGATTAGCTCTTTAGGTCTTATTGCCTGCAAATAGCACAGGAAAGCACATTGAAATTTCATTTAATCTTGAGACAAAACGTAGATATTAAGAAAAATATATATATATATATACATGTAGACATTTATATTTAAAAATATAAATATATATGTATATTCTATAAAAATTTTTTCTCAGTTAGGCTTGAGATCCAACGCTTAATACAAAAACAAGTGATAACGCTTAAGTTGGTCAAGCTCGATTATTTAACAAAATTATTGCATTTTAGGTGAATGCACGCCATACCTTATCTGAATTTTGCCAACATTATGCACGCTTTTCTTTAATTAAGTCTATTTGAAATCTATTTTACGCTTAAATTGATGGTCTCGCTAACGCGAAAGAGTAAGATTTATATATAGCTTTCTAGTAAAACTTCTTCCTGCAGCTAGGTTTCATTATGTAAGGCATTTCAGTTCAAGTCTCTATTAGAAATCATTGTCTGCCTTGAAAAGAATTTAAGCAGGCAGTTTAAATAAAGGATAGGCAGATAGATCGGTCGCAGTTCTAGCCAGTGCTCAGTCGGTAGAGCCATATCACCTATCGATTGGGCAGAAGTACACTATGCTGCGGCTGACACGACTCTATTTCTTTTTCTTTCCTCTTTTCCTTTTGACGATCATCCTCTTACATGAATACGTGACATCCCCTGAGCGGTTGGTCGTATTAAAAGAAAAAAAAAAACAAACGAAGAGAGATGATAAGCGTCTGCGTCTACCCTTAGAAAATTGCATGAGGTGACTCTGCGCCATTTCCCTTGCCGGAGAGAAAAGAAAATTTGATCAGGTAATGAAAACAATAGAAATCAATACCGAATGATGACTAAGAATGCCTACTGATGAAGATAACGATTGATACTAATTAGTAGACGGACAAACAAGCAACAGACTGATGAGCAGGCAGATGAATAGTAAAAGGGAGAGAGAGATGGCCTATGTATCTAAATAAGATTGTAATGACAAAAAAAAAAGAGAGATTTGAGACACATGGATAGATAGATAGATAGACAGAAAGAGGGACAAATGAATCCAACCGCCTACAAAACGAAAGAGAATGGGGGAATAACAGACATAAATACATGAGCAAACATATGGCCTTAACAGGATGAACATAATTAAATAGGTTTGCAGCTTATTTTAAAACTCATTCAAAAAATCGCTACAATTCCGTGGAGCCTTCTAAGTATTAGTGTACTGTTACGAAGATTGCACGCATGATAAAAAGAGTCCACATCGAAACTAATCGGTTTTCTAAGAAACCAAATTCTAAAAATGGTAAAGCCAGGTATACATTTATAACGCTTTACCTGCCAACGATACGAACGACGATACGAACTTTGTCCTAAAAATGGTTCGGATAAGAACGTAAAGTCGCAAAGGATAGTTTTGCTTTACGACGCTATATGTGTATACATTTTTTTTGCTAGAATTGTAAACGACTTTACACGCTTGAGCTTTTTGCTGCACCCTGTGTTGGCTGACGTCCGTTTTGTTCCGATATTGCATTTAAGTGGTTGTTGTCAACGCCGGAGCAACCTTAGAAGTCGGTTGGTCGTTTGAAGTTACATTTTCAGAATGAATTTTGGCGAAATTTAAACCTCACTGGCTAATTGTTCGTTAGACTTTAATTGTGAACACTGCACATTGTTGTTGGAGCTCTCGACTTAACACTAATGCACTCTTTAAGTTTCCAAAGCGTCACGGGGCGAATGACGTGCTTTCTCAATTCATTTTAGCGGCTATGAATAACAAATTAATGAAACGTGCACCGTACAAAACAGTAGTCGGAAGAGTAACTGAACTCTTATCTGTTTAGTGAAAGCAAAAACTCGTTCGTCCCGGTCACTTATAGCAGGTAGACACAAATATAGATTCTACCTACCTGTGTCGGAAGTTATTGATGTCTCGAAATATAATATAAATCTGTGTCCTTGATAAATAATTATGGCGTGTATTGAGGAAGATAGCTAAATTGAAGTTTGGAAGACTAATAAGGCGGAGAAGTAACTCTTTGCACTTAGCAACTGCGTAGAAGTTACTACAGCACTATACAATATAAGGGATAAAGATTAGCAAGATGTAGTTTTATGATACACGAACGAAATGTGTGTTTGGTTAAGAAGCGCTGCTTGATCTTCTATTTTATTACATTAAATGAGAAACTTCAATTAATCCTTCAAATTTTGACTCCTTGATACCTTCATTTTTGAAAAGTTTAACTTCAAACAATTTCGGCAGATTTTATCCAAAGTAAGCCCACGGTTTTAAAAGCCTGCAAAGAACAACCTAAAACGTTGTAGAGTCATTTCTAAAGCTGGCCCTTCGAAGACCTCCATCGGTCAAAAAATAAAAAAAAATTAGATCGTAATGCCCTTTAAAAGGCTATTTGAATAAAAAGCGTTATATGGGACGTGGTGCGGAAGTTAGGTTAATGTGATCCCAGTTTAGGCGGCTAAGTCTTTAAGACAAACACCTACTGACGATTAGTTTTAATAGCAAAATGTAACAAATAACATTTTTTTGCCAAATGAAGTCCTACTTTCCCATGGAAGGGAGTTCATAAGATTAATCAATCCAAGCGTACATTTTTTTTTAATATAAGGACTCTTCCAAAACTGGAAATTATTCGGGGAGTGCCGCTAAAAACAGGGGCCAATAATGCGCTTGTTTGAGTTAAAACATGGCAATGTATCGAATTCAGTCCGACCTGCCTGTAGAATTGTAAGTTGAACACAAAACTTTATAGACTTATGTGAGGCACAAAAAGGTCGATACGCTAAATAAAGCGATAGAATGATTTGGATATTCCGTGTAAGCTCCGCAAACAAGCTTCACATAACAAGCATACGCAGCAACTAGTGGTGTAGGGTATGGCTGGAAGATTTCATATAACATTAAAAGTAAAAAATATCGTTATTTAAAAAAAAATTTGGCATCTCGAAAAGATTTACTTGTTGCCTCAAAATATGCATTATATAATCGAAAAGATGTTGAGCCTAATAATGGGCAAAGTGTTAGTTAAACTCAAAAAAGCGTGATGACTATATGAATCAATTGATTGACCTTGTTTTGAATACCTATTACAATAACTTAGGTAGAGTAGGGATGTGATTACGTTATGCGAATAAGTTTACTAGCATTCTTTTTACTTACATTATACAGTAAACCGCAGTTGCTTACAATATTTGGTACATAATGCGCTAGCAACGAAAGTGTCGGTATTGTAAAATCCCATAAAAAGTAGTTGATCGTCTCCTTGAGAAATGCCGATTCGTTTATGGTAATGGCATTGAAGGCGTGACGTACGAAAAATACCCAATCGTGCAGTTTAGCGGCACTGCTTAACAAGATTATATTGGGCATAATAATTGTTTGATTTAATATATCTGGAGAGGAGCTGGCCAATGGATCGAATTCAAATATTTTATGAGGATTTCTACGAAACGTTAAGTTGCCGTTAGTTTGAGAAACAATTTCATTTAGTCCGATGACATGATAAGCAATAGGTCCAATTTGCTCAATTTTTAAACGCAAATCGGTTCCATTTAGAAAGCTTTCTGCATTTGTAACATTGAACATGTATACGCGAAGCATGCCTTGCGGGGAATGTATCCATCCATTTTGTTGAGGAGAATTCCGCCGAAAGCGTACATGTTCTTTAATAAATTCCCATTGATAGTTGATATGAAGTGAAGCGAGAAATAAAACGGAGCAGACAATAGCGGTTATGGTCAATGATATCAGTTTACCTGCAATTGGTATAGAGTAAAGAAATATTGTGCAAAAAAAAAGAATGAAGAAGAAAAACTAGATATTTTCAAAACCACAGAATACTAACATAAAATACAATCTCTGGACGACATTGTTTGGGAATATGTACGAAGGCACAAATCACTTAAATTCCACACAATTTGCTTTAGATTTGAAAAAAAAGATTTTTTTTTGTTTTACTTTGTTTTTTAAATAAATTTTTTTTTAACAAAAATCAGTTCACTTAGACTTCTGCCGAACTGTCTTAAGTATTTGAATAAACGTTTAAAATACAACTAAGGTATTGAAAATAAAATCTGAGCTCGGAACTACAGGCAGAACGGAAAAAACAAAAAAAAAAAAAAAAACAAAACACAAAAATCTTCAAAACTGTATTCAAACACAAGAACTTATCAGCTCATCATCCGATGTGTAAATCTTTTCGGAAATGGTCAGTCACGTTACACTGCGAATTAATAATAATGATAACGAAGTTACACTTGCTATTGGAAATTGAATATGTGACGCCAACAGCTTTTACTATACCTCCCTCGAGGCATTTAATCAATAAATAAATAACAACTCAGTCTATCTTATTGATCTTAGTGACTCCATAAAGATATGATCGATTTCGATAAAGGTAACGAGAAATTCGTTCAAATTATGCTTTACTCTACCTTTCCGCTTTTCTGTTGATTTTTCTCATGTTTCATAAATATTTCGCTTTCATTTTCTTCAAGTGTAATTTCTTACCACATTGTTTGTGTACGATTTTTTTTTTTTTTTTTTAAATATATATTCCATCCTCTTATCAGTTGGCGTCTCAGAACGTATTCGTCTTATCAGTGGCTTGGAACCGCTAGTGCCATACTTGCACAATTCAATTTGGTTTGCCAGGAAAGAAAAAAAAAAATAAAGAAGAGAAAACATCATTTCATACGCCTGCTTAATGGACGTTTTGACAGGCTGTGCTAATAGTATATACATAACGTTTAGTACTTAATGACGAACAAAATTTGTTTTGATTTAACGGTTACATGTAACGACACGAGAAAATGTATTCGTTTTACGCAAACGTTTAAAGAATTATCAATCAATTGGCTGTGTGATGCTGTGTCTGCGTAAAACACGTTAATTCTGTGAAATAATTACGTATGTAAAGCATTGACTGAATGTACATGTTGTGCATATGGATGAAGGATTTAAAAAATTTTGTCAACACGACTATCATCGTCATTGTCTAAACGGGGGTGTTATGCATTTGTCATACGCTAAGTGTTGTATTAGTGACAAGATTTTTCTATAAATATCATTCTAATCAATTGCAAATTTGTTGAATACTTTATAGGTGCAGTGCGATTAAAATCTACTAAAGGTCGTTTACGCCTCATTAATTATAATGTCGCGCTCAATCAGGTAGTTTAGTTTAAAACGAATTGGTTTTGAGACCCTTCATTCGAATTAATTATTCGAATACGTGGTGAAGAGTCGTCGCAATGGCTCTGTAAGTTTCATCTCTTCAGCTAGTTGACCAAACTGCCCGATGTACTAGATTTATCAAATCTTTCTAATCCATCTAAATATCCAAGGTGTTGAAGCAAAAACTTATGTTTGTCGGATTGGTTGTTGAAGGTACAATTACAGTATTAATAGTGTAAAGAAAAATGGGTCGTCAAATTTCCGCTTTCATTCCTCTCGACTATGTCAAAATGGACCATGGTTTCCCGCAGAAGTGACTAGTGTACATCTATTGATTTTTTTTTCTATGTTAACCTAAAACATTGTTTGGAGCATAAAGGTTAATTTCAACGGTTGACCTAAGCTTCTGCTCCTTACCAAAAAAGAAAATTCGTAAATATGCTATTATAGCTAAGGCTCTAAATCTTACTCTGGCCGCAATTTTGATTATTATTCCTAGTTTGGTAAAAATTACAGAACTATTGATATTTCACTTTGTAATTCTATTTTTATTTGCACTTGCATTTGCATCTCTAGTTTTAGTTCTAATTCAAGTTTTATTTCAGTTTCTGTGTCTATTTCTAGTTCTGGATTCAGTTCCAGCTTTAGTTCTGGGTTTGATTCTACTTTCCGTCCAGGCGTATTTCTATTAATGTCTTTATTTCTACTGTAATATTCCCATTGGTATTTCTATTACTATTCTTATTTCCATTTCCTTTTCCTATATCTATTCCTACCTCTAGCTTCTGGAATATATCTCGGTATATATATTTTAGTATTTTTATTTCCATTTCTATTTCTAGTTTTAGTTTTAGGTCTAGCTCTAGTATTGGTTTCAGCTTCAATTTCAGTTCCGTTCTATTTCTGTTAGTATTCCTATTTATTATGCTATTTCCATTGCTATTTCTACATGTATTGCGATTTCGATTTCTATTTCTATTTCTTTTCCTATTTCCATTGCTATTTCTATTTCCGTTTCGATTTCTATTTCTTTTGCTATTTCTATTAACATTTCTTTTCCTTTTGTTATTTCCATTGCTATTTCTAGTTCTACTTCAATTGCGATTTCTATTTCTTTTGCTATTTCTATTTCCGTTTCGATTTCTATTTCTTTTGCTATTTCTATTAATATTTCTTCTTCTTTTGCTATTTCTATTCCTATTTCCATTGCCATTTTTATTACTATTTCGGTTTCGATTGCTATTTCTTTTGCTATTTCTATTAATATTTCTTTTTCTTTTGCTATTTCTATTCCTATTTCCATTGCTATTTTTATTTCTAGTTCCATTTCTATATCAATAACTTCCGTTTCTATATCTGTTTCTATTTCTAGTTATAATCCTAGTTTTGGGTCTAGTTCTAGTTTTGGTTTCAGTTTTAGTTTTAGTTCCATTCTATTTTTATTAGTATTTGTATTTTTCTTGCTATTTCCGTTTCGAATTCTATTTCTTTTGCTCTTTCCATTGCTATTTCTATTGCTATTTCTATTCCTTTTGCGATTTCCATTGCTATGTATATCTATATTTTTATTTCCGCTACTATATCTATAATTGTTTCCATTTCTGTGTCTATTTCTGTTTCTATTCATAATTCTTCTTTTATCTCTATTTCTTTTTCTGTGTCCATATCTATTACTAGCTCTAGTTCTCGTTCTAGTTGTGTTGCAGTCTACATTTTAATGGAATGGAAATTCGTAAACTCTTCGCATATATGTATGCTTTTTTTAACCTTTCAATTTTCAGATGTTGAGATATCCAAAATCTTAAAAGTAGGGATTAAGAATTGAAAAAGTTGTAACAATGTCAGTAAATATGGAAGTACATTTTTGGACGGCAACTGCTGGTCTAAACTATGCCGGTAGTATGTGTCTAGCTTAATCTTACCATAACTATGTTTTCTTCTATCTATGCAAAAGTAGTTTCACGAATCCCTCGAAAAGGCCTAGAAATGAGCCGTAAGCGTTTTTCTCTTCCCTTTAATTAGCTTTTGTGAAGTTGTTGGTTTTTCTGAGAAGAAGACCTATTTTTTTTTATCGATCGTCTAACGATCTATCGATATTGCCCTGAAGTTATTTTACCAACAATTTTTACAGCTTGTGAAGTGAAGATATCTTATAAAATAATTCCAATACTAACATCTTTTCTCTCACAGACTAAAACTATTTACCTTTGCCAACCCCCCGAAAATATTTGAAACATTTTATGCTAAGGTAGCAATAACTGAACAATCGACTTTTGAGACTTTAAGGCTGCTTTAACATATTATTATAAACAACAAATAGCAGAAGACCGAACGATGACAAGGCATCTGAAAAAGAGCGCATTGCTTGCTTTGATAAGCGTTAAGCATTTCCAAGTCAAGATGCACGCTATAATAAGAGGAGAAGAGCTATGCAAAGCTATGCAAACTCCGAAAATGCTAATAAGAAATTTTTAGATCATCACTGACTAATTTTTAGTTTATTAACGAATACATCGTCTATTTCCTATTTACATAAATAAAGCAGTCGAGAATTGCTAGATGACTTCTTAAATTATGGCAAAGTACTTTCCTAAAGGCCAAGTCCCACTGAAACATGTACTAATACCTTAAAGGGTTCCACAATTGGGATTGTCGTAAGGTGTTAATGGAAATTTTTTTACATTCTTCTTCATCGAAGGGTGGAAGGGGATTTCCAATTTCATTTGTAATGTCGGGATCACTTTAGCCAAATGTCAAAATGTATATGTTCTTGGGTGATTACAAAATTTTCATAATTATCTCATAAAGGAAATATACTTCTGATCTTCTAGGACGTCTTAAGAGAGAGCTCAGAAAATGTACATTTCTTTGATCAGCATGCAATGCCGAAATGGCTTGGCCATGACTATTTGGCTCGAAAAGAAAAATTTAAAAATTGAAAGAAAGCAAAAGGTTGCGCAGATAGCGAGCGGCGTCCGACTCTCAGTCGGAAGAGGTAGATTCGATTTCCGATAAAGGAAAAAAGTCAACTGTTTTCTACTACGAATTTGATTCCTATGCATTCTCGTATTGAACTAGTATCAAGTATATGTTTAAAGTATAATAATAAAAAAACACATTTTGTTAAATATTTAACAAGGCCATCTGAAGATTCAGTCACTAAAATGATATTAAAATAGAAAAAGTTGCTTATTATTTATGTTTTTGTTTTTAGAAATGATTTGAATTTTCTAAGAATAATATTATAATGTTGATATTTTCATATTCGCCTGCACTGGGTATCAGTATATTTTTTTATTATTTCACTTGCAACTCTCAGAAAAAGTGTAGAATTCCTAGCTTAGTTAAAGCTCATCTATTCCAATGTCGATTTTGAAAATCTGCTCGCGCTCACAGTCGCATGAAACTAACTTTTTCATCCAAGACTGGACATAGAAAACACGCGTTAGTTGTACGACACGGTATGGAATATGAATACACTCAGCCTCGCAGAACTATTTGTTCCAACTAACAACGGACAGAGAAAAGAGCCATGCATTAGAAGATGCAGTGTCGTATTCTGAGTGCATTTTCTCTCGTGAGGTAGACGTCTAAGACAGGACATGGAAAAGTCTAATCAAATATAATGATGTAACATAGTTAACTCTAATGTACTACAGAATACCATATCGTCTTTTCGGTGCTTCAGATAACACCGAGCTCTTACTCATCACACAATCGACTTACTCTGCGAACAAAATCATTATTATTAAGAAACTAGAAAAGAGTTATAAAATTGCGAACGTGATCCTAGAATCTCATATGTGTCCGGTGCTTACTCAAAATAAGAGTAAGTATCGTATTCTTACAGATATGGTGTCTT